GCTTGTGACAAGGCCATTTCAATCGCTCCGTAAAAATAAAAAGCTGAAATTCACATTTAGTAATGAATTAAGTATAAAAAAGTCCTGTATGAAAGGATTTTATATGTGGCACATTTTTACTTGTGACAAGTACGTCTGGTCTCGTGCGATACTCTCTCTTCTACATCAAATTCTCTTCTCAGCAAATCGTCGGTGCAAAGTCAAGATGCCCGGCCCCCGGTAACATCGGAGGCTCTACCTTTTACAGCTTCATAATCAGAATTTTGGCAGCTCGCCCGACCAGCTCTTTCTGTATTTGATGGTCATCGCGTGCCTCCGCAAACCGCCTCCCAAGAACACCACTTTACCATATGGAGCTCCTTCGTGCCTCATAACTGAAGCATAAGGGAGTTGGTCGGACCTCCGCACAAGGAGGGTCACGTTCAATTGTGTCAAAGCCAAAAGAAAGTCCTCTAATAGACGTGTCGGTAATTCAACATCAACAGGATTTGCGTTTCTCCGAAGCAGCAAAAGAATTTCGCCCGGAGTGGCCACAAATCAAATCCTGTGTTGAGTCTTAATGCAACATCTATTCATGGCGCCTCTTCTGCATGACTACACGAAGCAGCAAGAAATCAGGTCACCCAATTCAAGCCATATTTTCTTGATCGTAATCGTATAACATGTATGCGTAAAAACGGCATCCATTTCATTATCACACCTATGTGTATGTCTGATACCTTACAGGCTATACAAGATATTATTTTGCCTTCTATCTTACCAATCAGTAGCAATTCAGATTTTTGTTACTCTTCTCTACAATTAGGGTTTGTAAAAACTAGTGGTGTAATTGAGTCATGTATTTGTTCGCTAAAATTAGAACGAAACACGATCCTAAGGCTAAGGTTAATATTGAGTATTAATTGATAATATTAGTAGAAAGTAGGTTTTGAAATTTTCATTATTTAATAGATTCTAGGATATGAACTAAACATAACTTTTCATGCATTATCATCCCTGTTGGATGATCTGATGTTGACCTCAAAGTCTGTTTTGACTCATTTATTGGAATATATGTACACATCGATACTACATTGAAACTTGGAAGCAAGTCAAATGTTAAAATAATAGCTTAATTAGATAATACTGATACATAATTAAAAACTGACAAGATTTAGATAATTCCTTCGATTTGCTTTAAATTGCGAGAATTAATGTATCCTCCAATATTCATAATACGTTTAGGTTGTAGTGACCTATCCCCACACTTTTCCCATTCAATGTTAAGATTTTTTACATCCCATACGTGGCCATGGTACAAAATCCTTGGGGGCTAAGATCCCGTGAGTACGTGACTAATCTTCACTATTTAATTCGCGTCGACGAATCAGGGCCTGGCACCGCATCGTCCAATCAGAAGTTGACATGAAAAATTAAGCGAGGGTATACCAAGTAGCTAACATTCTCGAAGGTATGAAGGCCAAGATGGTGTGGACTTTTGTGTGGTCGCAGTCTCCTTTCGTTTTATAGAGGTTATTTGACCTTGTTTTCGCAACTTGGTCATATTGGTAGGAATACTTATAGGAACGCACCTAGCCCGGAACCAATTGTATGCATGATCATTTCCAAACTCAGACCGTGGACGTGGTACATTCCCAGAAGTTTCGCCGGCATCGTCAGTGAGTCTCGCCATTCTTAGCACCCCACAACAACTCGTCAAAGAGACAAATGAAGCAAAATGTTTAGACCAAACGGCTGCTAAACAGTTGTGTTATCTCCCCTTCTGCCCTGGGCTATGCACATTTCCTATATCCTCCTATGACACCTGCCTGCTTTGATTAGGTTCAATGTAGAACCACAACGTTTGTGGGTTAGCACACAAGAAGCTAGGGCATAGCAATTCATAGACTTGGTATTAGGGATAGAAACAGGATAAACGCACCGGAGACTGGAGCTAGTTGGCTGACAGTAGGTTTTACGAGAGACGTGGTCCATGTAGCAAGGGAGTGACCATGAGGCTTACTCAGAGGCTTTAGCCTCGAATTAGTCACCCAGACGCAGGGAATAACGAATAACGCCTCGAGTAGCACAGATTGCGTGGCAGGGGTCGAGTGAAATGCGTGAACCAGGGAGATAGCAGACGGATCTTACGGGCCAAGAGGGAGACTAATAAGACCTAGGGAAGGAAGACTACGTAACAATAGGGCAGACTCTGATCAACATTCCTAACACAAGAGTAAAGGGGAGTTAAGGGCGCCAGCGTGGAGTGTGGAGGGATTTCATGAGTGCCGCTCAAATAAGTACACCACAATAAGTCAAAATAAACACGGCAAAAATTGTAACACTGAAGGTGGGATAGGATATTGAAAATGTGAATAGCCCATTAAAGAAAGGGAGATACCACAACTGTTTAGCACACGTCTGGTCAAAGTATCGGCTTCAATTGTCTCTTTGACGATTTGTAGTAAGCTGCTAAGAATGGCAAGACTCACTGACGATGCTGGCGAAACGTCTGGAAAGGTAGTACGTCCACGGTCCGTGTTTGGAAATTATCATGCATACAATGGGCTCCAAACTAGATGCATTCCTCTAAATCTTCCTACCAATATGACCAAGTTGCGAAAACAAGGTCAAATAACCTCTATACAACAAAGGAGACTGCAACCACACAAAAGTCCACACCATCTTGGTCTTCATAGCTTAGATAACATAATGTTTATGTTGGTCACGTTTTTTTCCTTCTCTTTCTCTTCTTCGTTGTGGCCGGCGAAATTCAGACTTTTCTATTTCGTGCCGCCTTTTAATTATTGTCTTTCTATTGTCAGACCCCGATACTGTATTTAGCCGTTTCAAAATACGACACTTGGTAACACTATTTTTCCCTTTTTCTCTCCGTTTCGAAGCCTGGAACTTTAGAGTTGTAGAGCACAAACGTTTTATATTCTAGATACAGTCCACGTCCTTTTCTGAACACTAAAACTGTATCCCATAAAATCTGAGTCTACCTTAATTTATGACAGTTTTTAGCAATATTTCAATAAATTTTGGATCCCTACCTTAACAAGTTAATCCTACTCTTGTACCTTTTTATTTCGTATGAAAAGGGCACTGGATGGGATTCATAAATTGTCATAATTAGACATTGAGGATTAGTTGCTTAGAGTAGTTACTGATAACTTATTCTATTTCCAGTGGAGACCATTTGTGAATCCCGTCTATCCACCATTTTCAAGCGAAATAAGTTATACAATAACATTAATTCATTAAGAGATTGAGAAAACCAGCTTCATTTCACACATTGGCATTTAATTGTCCAGGTAAATGCACAAAGTTAGATGTAATATGACAGTGAGGTTGTGTGAC